ACACTGTCAGGCCTCAAATGCATGAGCAGTGGTGTCTGTCTTTGGAGGAACTCAAACCTTCCCCATAGTTCCACCGTGTTCCAGAGAAGGCAGCTGGCTGTGGGCTTGTTTGTTACACAGCCTCTTGAGGAGCTTTGCAGCACAATACACTTGGCATGACTTTCACTCACCAGACATTAAATGGAGCCAGGGAGGTAAGATGCTAGAACCAGGGAGCTGTTTCACTTTCTTTGCTCTTTGCACGGCACCGATGGCATTGTGCTGCTTACTGAGGACTGCTTCTGGGTAGAGTCGGGGGACTCTGGGCACCCCCACCCCTGATTCGGCTTGAGTGACCGCAACTTTATGTGTTTCCACACTGTTTTAATATGCATTTTATTTAAGCCAAAGGTTATGCTGCCTAACAGTGCTTACCAATGAAACGCTGCAGGAGGAAGGCACAAGGCATTAGGGTCCACTGCAGATACGGGGCAATGGTGCGCACACGTGCCTGGCTGGCGCAGGTTGCCAGGTTGCCAGAGAAGGAAGTGGGAAGGAGAAGCTGGGGACTCATCACAGAGAGGCAGTGTGCCCAGTGGGTGAGAGTATGCCTTCTGGGGTCAGGACAGGTCCCAGCTCTGCAGCTCAGGCAGGTCACTTAATTCTGATTTTTCACCTGTGGGACAGGAGCAGTGACAGGTTCTGTCTCAGCAGGTCGGTGTGAATAGTAATGAGATCGTTCTGATTATGTGCTTAGCCTGATGCCTGGGCTCAGTAAATGCTTAGGGTGTGTCAGCTTTCCTCTCACTCTGTTGAAGCCGTGCATTGCTTTACTTATGTCTTCATTCGTTCGTTCATTCATGCATCCATTCATTTAGCTAGCCTTTTCTGGGCATGTACGATGTGCTGCCAGATGTGTGCTCATGAGATGAGGCGATGGACACAGCCGCTGCCCCCCAGAATTTCCACTTCTAGCTTCCTCCTTTCTGTTCCCTCTACCACCCAATTTTTATTATTTTCACAGTGACCAAAATTACCTTTCAAAGTCCTTACATCCCTGTTTATTTTATTAATCTGTTACGTTTGCTCCTACCCCAGCTAGAAAAGGCAAAGAAGTTGGTGCATCTATGGACACCCTGTTCCCGCTCCCACCCCAGCCCCTTCTTACCTGTGTCATCCCTGCCTTGTCTGAGTTTATGGTATAATTCATTCTGTTCTCCAGCTTCAACCCCCACTGGTTTCATTCTGTGCTTTCATCACGAGTCCTTTTGCCACGGGTTTTCCATTTATTTCTTAGTTGACTAAAGTCTGTTCTCCACAAAAGGGGATTCAGTTCTTTGTATGTGCACAGTGTTTTTCTGTTACCTAAATGCTTGAGCAACAATTGAGTTGACCTAAACATCCTGGATCACGTTTTCTTTCCCATGTCTTCCTAAGCATCACTCCGCGACCTCTGGCAGCAACACTGCTGTGGAGAAATTGGCCTGAAGCCTGTTGTCTTTCCCCTTATTGGTGACTTGATCTTTGCCCGGCTGCCCCAAGTATTTCTTGCTTTCCCTGTCAGACCCAGTGACCGTATCAGGGCTGGCCTCTGCGTTCCTTTTCTTTGCCACTTTCCCTGGAACAGGGCTTTGCTTTTCAGTCTGAGACTGAGATATTTTTTCACGTTAGGATATAGCCTTAAACTTATATTCCAATACCTCTTCTGTTACCTTATTTTTACTTCAGTACTCTTCTTTAGGAGTCCTGTGCCTCGAACCCACCTCAGAGCCCCTGACCTTTGCAAACATCTGCCTCCTCATTGGAAAAGTGGGGAAAAAAATAGGAACGGCCCCATCCTACCTGCCTCCCACTCATGCTTAAGTCAGATCTCCTTTGTGCGTCTTCCATATCTGTCATTTCCTCTTAAAATTTTTTTTGGAATTATTTGTTCATTTCCATTTTATCCTACTGACTTTTTCTCGGTAATCCCCTCCATCCATTCAGCTCCCTGTGTGTGTCGTGGCATCTCCCTCACGCTGCTTTCGGTGTTGTCTCCATTGGTCGTCTGGTTTTATCTTCTCGGACATTTCTCGACCAAGTTCTGATAGTTCCATTGTTATCTCCTTTGACCTGTTCATCTTTCCCCTGAGTTCTCGTATACTTACTTTTTGCCAATGCAAAGAGAAAAGACACAGTTGCTATGTTTTTTAAAAAAAGCTAATGCACACACGCTTGCACGCTGTTCTTAGTCATTCCGTGGCTGGGTTGCCTGGTGAGCGTTAACCTGCTTTCTGCCGCCTGCTCTTTCTCCCCTTCTCGTTTGTATTATCTTAGTATAGATCCTGTGCTGAGTATTTTCTACCACTGTTCACCCCTGACTTATGCCTGGACCAGCTAATTATAGGATGTTCACGTTGGAGAGAGCCAGGGCTGTGTGCAGGCCGGCAGGAATTCTTGCGAGAGGGGTGTGTGTGCGTGTATGTGTCACTACACCTGCGATGGGACTTCCCTGCACGTACGGTGTATCCTTGTAATTTCCCCGTGCAGTCCTGATATTCCTGATTTTACCTTGTGACAGGTGAGGTCCAGATCCCATCCCCAGTCGAAGCGTGCATTTTCTTCCTCCCTCCCTCTCCCCCTCCCTTCCTCGCCAACACTTGGAATTCTCCATCCCTCGGTCTAGCCATTCTTTCTGGTGGGCATGTAGAGGTATAGTGGTGATTTTAATTGGCCTTTCCCCAGTGAAACTGGTCGCCTGTTCATATGTTTATTGGCCATCTTATATATTTAAAGATCCTGTTTTGTGAAGTGTCAGTTTAAGTCTCTTCCCCATTTTTCTACTGGTATTTTTTTTAAAAATCGTCACTCAAAGGTATGTTTATTGATTTGAGG